TGTCCGTTAGGTCCGTTTTGGCTTCTCCAACTTAGCCTTAGAAGCGCTCTCATTCACGCGCCGCGCCATGTGCATTATCGGGAAGGGCGAATCATGAGGGGAGAGCTAAATACGTGGTTGTTACTCCGAACATGGACCACTAATGGGAATGAACTCCCTCCACCTCGTGACCACAGGATTGTTCGTTACGGATGCTGACGTCTTAGGGGTCTCTGTTTGGCCTTCTTGCTTGCTCCCTTCAACAATTGGTGGAGAACGGGTTGGCGCCGCGGAACCCAGCCCCCGTGACATGCCCGAGCATTCCATCAATACTGTACTCGCGAGGTGGAGAAGTTCACGCGGAGTCTTGCCTGGGTTCGGTTATTTTTTTACCTTTCGTAATCTTAATCAGTAACTCAATCTCAATCGTTTGCTTCTCAGTGAAAGGACGCACACAAGCAGACATGCCATAACATAGTGAGGCAGTTGTGTGCCACTCCCCCCTCCCCCACCTCAATTAATCTTGCATCGCACGTTGTTTTGCAGCGTCGCTTTTTTCTAATCCATTTCCTCCGAAGTCCATTTCTTTCGGTAGAGCCTCGAAGATGCTACCGTGAGAAATCAGCGACAAATTACCCACAATGAGCGGATTTCCGGTCTAGGACATCCGCTTATTCCTGGTGTTTCGAAGGATTTTCAACTTCCAACTTACAGTAAAGATCTCAATTCACTTTCCCGTTCTCGATTCACTTTTCTAGCCAAAAAAAAATCAAAAAAGGAATGAATTCACAAAACGCTGCAATTCGTATTTTCAGAGTAATGTATCTCATCTACACTATTTGGGTGCTTGCATTTTTCCCTTCATTGTATATAGGTCTACAGGTAAAAGCGCTGCCGACTCTTCGACCTACTGTCAGCTAGTAATAGTCCTTTAAAATGGTATAATGATTTAGTTCAAACGGGTTGTACCGGATTTTTGTGGTTACAACAGAGAGCTCAATAGTCAACGAGGCAGTTGTGATTACGTTACCAGTCAAAACATACCATTTCGGTATCCTTTTGAGGTTTGTCTTCATTGATCGGACATATAGGTTGGAAAGAAAGTCCTGTCAGTGTTTTTTAGATAGCCTACAGTTTTTGATCTTCGAAGCTCGAACATGACGTAACATGCTAAGGTTGTAGAACATTCTCGAAGCTTTT